TAAAACCAAATTAACAAAAAAAAAAAAAAAAAAAAAAAAAAAGCACAAGAGTGAAAGAAAATACAAGTGTGATGTCATCCATTTTCTCCATCAGAAACTCAGAGTACAGCTTGGTTTGAGTTAAAAGCTCATCCAATTTGTTAAACTGAGTGTCATTTAGGTCCAGCGCCTCCTCACACTGCACCTCCTCTTCCTTCATCCTGGCTTCGAGTAACTTCTCTTCCTCCTCCGCCATTGTTTTCGATATAAGCGAGGATCCATCGTCTTTAACATCAGCAATCACCTCTTCTTCAGACTTAACTTCCTCTTTCGTGGCACAGACATCCTTTCCATTTGAAAAAACCAGGAACAACACACATTAAAACCAAATTTACTCCAAAAAAAAAAAAAACCAAATAAGCCTTCATGAGAAGCAGAACAGGAACAAAAACGACATAAGTTTCAACACTCCTTTGCAGCACCAGACACCGTTCCGTAAAATAACCGTTCAAATAAAACTTGCAATAATACTTCACGCTCGATACAGTTAATCCAAACGAAGCATAAATAACAAGAGCACGTTGTATGAGAGTGACGATTTGCAAGATGCAACTACATTTTCCAATGCACAGTCATCGATTTAGTTCGATACGAAAACGGTTATCGCGTGGAGAAAAAAGATGAGCAAGAGAACAAACCTCGTCTTCAAGGACAGAAGTTGGAGACTCCACTGCGGTATCCTCTTCCTTCACTTTATCCTTCGCCTCCATTTCAAACCCTAAGCGCAGAGCAAAACCACCGAAAAAATAAATAAATAAATAAATAAAAACAAGTGCGTTAGGGTTGCGGTATAATACCTGGCAGAGGAGACGGTGAAGAAAAGACGATGCGAGAGCGAGATGGAAGAGTTGAAGTTGGGAAGATGAAAGGACCGCGAAAAATAATGAGAGTGGTGAGTAAATGGAGCAACCACTAATTAAAAAGGAGAGAGAGAGAGAGAGAGAGGGGAATTAATTGTTTTAATAATAATTTTCTGAATGGGGCTTGGGATTGGGCGGGAAAGTGGAATTGAATTATTGGCCCGGGTTTTGGCGATATTTACTGTCAAAAACCTCTGTTGACTCAACCTTTGACTCAGGAAAGTGTTTCCGTTTTCTGTGGCAAGTGCTAACCAGCGCTCTGTTGCTACCCAAATTCCGTGAAAAGAAATGACGCGTCTTCTGCTTGCCCACGTTTTGGTTCCTCACGTCCCTTCCCACTTTTTCAAACTTGCATTTTCCAAAACTAGGAAAATCATCAAGGGACTATAAACAGTTTCATCTTAAGAAACACAAGAAAGAATTAATAGCGGATTCAAAAAAATAAATACAAAAATAATCGTGCTTGAATTTGATTTAAAATTATGTACATTTCACCTCTGTCTCTGCTGCTAGTATTATAAATGTTATAATATTATATCGTACTTGTATAACATGTACGTTATATAAAGAGGAGATATGTATTATTTAAATTTCCTTTTTTTTTTTTTTTTTGAAGCAAATGAACTTAACTCATTTCATTAATGATAAGAGATGCAATACATGGAAGAATAAAATCGAAAAAGTGGTGACTAGTGGAAGATCTAGCCACCCTTGCTAAAGTGTGGGCGACCCGATTGGCTTATCTCCTAATAAACCTAACCTGAAGGTTTTGATGGGAACGTAACAGGGATCTACATTGATTTATAATGATCCCATATTCTGAGTGAAGAACCTGCGTGTTGTTGAGATGATCCGCTACTTGCTTGTAATTCGTTTCCACACAGACATTATCGTATGGAGAATGGATGAGATATTGGATTGCTTCCAACATAGCTGCTGCTTCTGCCTCATGGGGTGGTGGTAGGCCATGCTTCCATCCGGATATGGCAGTCTGGAATAATCCTCTTGTATCGCGGACACAAATACCGAACCCAAAGGTAATATATAAACTATATTTTTAAATTTATTATAATAATTTATATTGTGACATGAAAATATTTTTAAATTTTGAAATTTTATTTTTAAATATAAATTTAATTAGAGATAAATATGATAATTTTAAATTAAAATAGATGAAAAGTTAAAAAATAAACTCTCTTAAAAATTTTAAAAACACTCGCGTGATATAATTATTTTCATATATATATA